ATTATAAGTTTTTCAATTGCAATTATACGGTACAGCCTTCTTTTCTAGTTGAACAAATCTGAATACAAACTCCTTAACTCTAGAAGAGCCTCTATTCATACGAAAATTTTACAAAAACAACTGAATAATATCATAGTTTAATTGGCAGTCGAAAAAATATTCACGACGAAAAAGTTCCTGCTGAAGTAGAAACTATACAATAAATTTGAAAGTTTTAAAAATTATTCATTTTTAAAATGACTTAATTTTTACAATTTTTTTGGGGGGAAAGAGGGATTTTTCAGTTTAGTTTAATCTCAAAATCAATCAGAAATATCCTGGATGAAAAGAGGTAAGATCTGTCCATAATAATATTTTGGGAGAAATTAATGATGACCCCACTATACCAAAATAGAAAGTACAAAAATTGCTAGATAAAGATAGTATAAAAATTATTTTGAACAAAACCTATCCACTTCAACTCAAAAAACTTCACAAGTTACAAATGCCTAGAATGCACTTTTCCCAACATGAGTGTTATCGCCTACCAGCGGACACTAAGGAATTTGGGGAGTAGAGGGAATTAATTGATTGTCTAAAAAAGCATTAAGGAGGCATTGAGAAGCAAGTGAGTAATAAGAACATATTTGAAAAATTTAGCTATTTATGCACTTTTCAAGAGCATTTAAATACTCACTTAATAATATAAATATTACATTAATGAATTTTTAAATAAATTATTTCAAATCAAGATAGTCAATCCTTCACATAAACTTAGCGAAGTTGAACATAGTTTCATTTTCCTATTCCAGTAGATTAGATATACATCAGTTAAATATTCCAAAAACATGACCAAAATCTATCTGTATTTATTGCAATATCTAATAATGCCTCAGCAGCTTATGCTTTCAGTGCATACTACTCACTGCACATGCTCTCGAATATGTATATGTTTTGCAAGATCATTACCGTAAATGTTTCGAGAAATTTCCAATTGTTACAATGTTTCCATACAATATAATAAATTTTAGTTAAAAATTTACTGTAAAGTAACAAATACTTAAAATTTTTATACACATTCAGTCAAAATTACAGATTTAACTTAACCCCTTCGTGCCGACTGTCACGTCTACGTGCCAGCAACGAACACACTCACTTCCCGGCCGACACGCAGGCGTACCAGAGCATTTTCCTGTTCAGCCCCGACTGTCACGTATTTGTGCAAGTGTCCTGGAACGTTTGAAAAACTATAATTTCTGCCACAAGGATGGCACTGTATGTCCATATGGTTTCAGATACATGTACATTAGACCTTCTACTCGAAATGAGAGAAGCATGACTCACATACACGTGTTTTTGATTATATAAACAAAAGGGGAAATAAATGTTTCCGAATGGCGTGATTTATGACGTCTCTTTAAATTCGCACGTGGCATTTGTTTATTGTAAGTAGAGAAGTTTTATTTTCACTAAAGCGTTGGGTATTTCGGTTTGCAGTTCAGTTTTTAGAAAATAATTAGATCTTGTTAGACGTGAATTCTTTCTGTTTTTAACGTTGCAATGTCGAAGCATCGAAAATGTTTAACAGAGCATGAATAGCAGAAATGATGCAAAATATTTCAGATATTGATTCTGAAACAGATTCTGATAGTAGTGATAGTGATACTATGATATATTCTGATCATAAAGAATCTGGCCGACGTCGGCATACAGATGTCCGAAATGTCCTCATCATCATTAGGTTCGCCAGACAGGGACCACTGAGCAAAAACGAACAGTGAACCAAAAAAAGTTGCAAAACTATGATCTAAAAGTTCACAAAGAAGTATGAAAGCTGCAAAATTGTTTCCATGTAAGATAACTTTTTAGCTATTTAATAAAAGGATACCCAAAAAAAAATCTGGATGGATTTAATGACAAACCTTACTTCTGAATAGTAGTCACATTAACAAAAGAACTGGCAACACTCAGCAATCTGGAGAATACACAATCTCAATGCACTCTGCAAAAAACAAGCATACGGTTTACAATTTCTCTTACTCTTTCCAGACAAGCGTCCCATATATGCATTCCCTGCAAATCTCTCTCACAGCCAGACATCCCACCCATGCATCACTGGAGATTAAATTCACTGGACGAATTTTAAGCTGGAAAGTTTTTTAAAGACCACTAGGTAGCACCCTATGTCCATTACTTTTGAAATGAACAAAACTTTAGGTTCCTGACCTTCAGTTTGGCTACATTCTGCCTGACCTTTGGTATTTTCCCCATCACCTGTTAGGGGGGAGCTGCAGAAAAGTGTTATGTAAATAGAGCTGGGCTTTTTAACTGAAAACCTGCTAATACAAACATTCGCATTTCTATCTGATTCTTTATTATTATTTTATTATTATTATTATTATTATTATTATTATTATTATTATTATTCTTTTTCTTTACTGTGTAGGGTCTTTTAGGGTTATTATGTTACGTTGGGTTCTATTACATTTTGTGTCGCCTTCAGATACATTTTGGATACTTCCCTTTTTTTTTCGAAAAAAGTCTCGACTCCAATATATTATGGCGCAAAGATATTATTTATCAGACGAAGTATATACTCGCATGGTTAAAGCAAGTTTAAGCTTTTACCAGTATGACTTATGCATTTTTAATATTAATTTTAATAATAACATTTTTAATACTGTTTGGCAGCATTTTATATATATAAAAAAACATTTTTTTTTTTTAATCCAAATGGGCAATTTGCTCAGAAGGAATTTTGTTTTGGCATTTTGCATTGATTCAATACAGGCATTGTTTCACTTTTCAAATTGTTGCCACCAAATATTCTGGGCTGTGGAGTCGGTAGGGAAAATGACAGACTCCGACTCCTGGAATTTTAGACTCCGACTCCCTCATATACATATATGTAAACATATACACATGGTTTACAGCTTAATTTTTTAATAAAAAAGAAGTAACAAATGCTATAGAAAAAAACAATTGATGGCATAGCAAAATATTTATGTTAATTGGCATTTATTACAAAATGGAAAAACTGGCATTAGTTATTTCTAAGAAACAGTATAGTTTCGGCAAGATCTTCTTTGTTGGAGGGCCATAGATCCAATTTGATAAACTTCACAGCTGAGAAGTCTTTCCACACTAACTTGAGTAAGAGGAAAAGCTGTTATTGTAAGAACTACTTCTTTTACCTTTTCAAGATAGATTTTTATTAGTTCTAAAAGAGGTGTCTTGCAAGCACAATCATATTTCTCTATTTATTGAAAGGCCGTGTAGATATCTCGTTAGTATTTTTTTCATTTTTATATCTAAAGGCTCTTGGTCTTTATTTTGCATTCGCTTTGCCTTAGCCTTTTCAGTATTATCCAAAACTATTTCTGAAAATCTAATTCATCAATAGAAGAGGATAATAGAGACTCATTTACAAGGTCTGCAGTTTGACTGTCCTGATTCGAATTCTCCAATTGCTCTGAGAGTAATTTCATTCTTAATGAAAGTTCATAGATGGCTTTCTTTGCCTATTTAATTTATTCGTTATCCAAGAAAATTTGGTGTTTCAGATCTACATATATTGAACACAGCAAGATCTCATTGCCTAGCAAATTAGTTTCTCTTTTCTTCATTGAATAAATGATTATTTCTGCAATAAACTATCCATTTCAGGAAGAACATCCCATTCTTCCATTCTCGCCTCCTGTCAATTCTTCAGATTGCAGCTTTTTCTTTGTGGCTATATACGGTGTAGGGAGAAGCGTTTCTAATTCTGCAAAACCATTCCACAGTCTTTCTGTTAGTGAGACATTAGGGTTATCTACATATTCTAAAAAAAGTCCTTAATTCTAAAAACCTCTTTATCATCAAATATGTACTTCCTTATCACATGGCTGATTAATAATTGTTCCTTTTCCTGCTCGCTTCCTAAGAATGGCATCCATTTTGGTAGTTCTTCCTGCTATTGCTGCTTACTTAAATTTACCAGCGAGATTTGTAAATAAATGAAGTAACTGAATGAATTAGTTTAATCACTAATGGAAAATATCACATTCATCCTCCTCCCTTATATTTATTTATTAATATGTGAATAAAATAGAAAATATAAATGAAATAGAAATAATAAATTAATGTATACAGTCCATAAATAAAAATAATAACTCAGCTTGTCATTAATTTTTTTCAATTCATTTTAATTTCGTTTCAAATTCAAACTATCCAACAAAAACTGGAGTCGGAGTCAACCTGTTTTTAGTGACTCCAGCTCCGACTCCTTTTACCCCAAAATCTGCCCGACTTTGATTCCGACTCCACAGCCCTGCAAATATTATCACCCTGTATTATATTTAAAGAAATTAAATAATGAAGAATCTGCATAAATGTATATTTGTTTCTTGCATTATCATGAAACGGCGGTACTTAGAGCCATAAAATTTTGAATAACATAATCCTTCTGAGAATATGGGCATATGGAAGCCCAAATTTGAATTTTGTTTTATTATGTATTTCATATTTTGTAAAGCTTTAACAAATTTTTTATTAATAAACTCAATGATTTTAATGTGAGCAATGGCAACATTCTACAGGAAAAAAAAAACTTTTAATCTCCAGCCCGCAAAACTGTGTATTGGAAATTCTACAGATATGCTCATTTTAAAATTATTTTGCGATATTGCTGTTGAATTGAATTTTATGGTTTAAGTGCGAAGAACATGATATTTAATTAATAAAGGTAATGTTAGAAAAATGCCCCTTTGGACGTAATTTAAAATCTGAAACCATTTACACTTTTATTTATTTTTTTAATTATTATTATTTTAATAATTTTAAATGTAGGTTTTGATATTCAAGATAACTATTTTTATAATTTTAGACCAGAAATTTTTTCCTCCATTCACATGACTATTCTATCATGAATTTTATTTTGTATATGCTCAAATATCCAGAAATTTCATGTATCCAGAATCCACCATTTCCTAAATATTATGGATAATTGAACTTTTGCTGCGCTTAGAAATAAATTTTACCTGAATTTGGCTCGTTGCTCTTCTTATTAGGTCTGGCTGAAGGACTACCATCTTCCGCTTTCACATTAACAACATATGACTGCCGCTGCTCCCGATCAAATACTTTTTTTGTGAATATCTCCCCAGTGTCTCTATCAATGTCAAAGTTATCACCATCATCCCCTGGTTCAATGGAATAATACACCTAAAATAGTAAATAAATATAATTACCATATGGGTATTGGTTGAATATCAGCAAATATTTTATACAGCTTTTTAATAACAACAAAGTATTCAAAAAGCACTGAGAAACTTCTGTTAGCCTGCATTTACTGTTGTCCCTGCTTATAACATCACTTTTGACTGGTCTGTTAAAAGTGACTGTTTAACAAGGGTAACTGTGTTTATTTTAAAAACAGATAAATGGAGATGACAATATAAGAAGATATGATATATAAGTAGTTCTGCAAGAGGAAAACTCACATAAAATATGCATCAAATTTTTATCAAATTTGAACAAATTTAACACTTTTTATTTCTTTCCATTCTGGTCAGAAACTAAATTGATTTCAAATATAAATGAAGAAAAACTAGAGGGTAGAGGTATTAAAGACATTTTAGCAGAATTTTTGTTGCATATTTGCTTTAAATTTAAAACAGACAAATAACTGCTATGTACAGAATTTTAGCACTTAGACCCTCTTGGCAACTGCTAAACTGAGATTGAACAATAAATCAACATGATCATAGATTTTTTATTTCACATGAATATGTATAATTTCCTTATTATACGTATTCATGGATTCTGAATTTTTTTATTAAAAATTAACCTGATTAATTATTTTACCCCTAAAACTAGTGGAAATTCAATAGTTTTAAGACTGCTGTTCTGAATAAATAAACCATGATTATACTCTATAGAGTATGAGTTTCATGTCGTAACTCATATATGAGTTACGACATGAAAATCATACTCTTCATCTTGATTCATACAAAAAAAGTTAAAATGTGAAATCAAAATTTACAGAACAAAACATAAGTAAGCAGTCTCCTTCTTCCATCATTTCTTAATGTTGCTACAGACTAAAAACCAAAATAGAAACATCTAGTATCACATCACTTCCCCCCTTCCCAAAGTATTTTCTACCAATCAAATACAAGTTCTATATGCATAGAACTTGCATTACATAAAATATATATTAAAAAAAAAAAACCTTCACATATATTTAACTAGAAATTTCGAATATCTTTACTAATAGCTAAACCAACCTTATTATTTGGATAAGTGCCATCTTTATCAACTGCACGAATTTGAGTGACCTTGGTACCAACAGGCATTTCTTCAAGAACAGTTTCTTGTTCTTGCTCAATGAATAAAGGAATTTCATCATTGACATCATCTACTAAAATATACACTGTAGCTTCACTTGCTAGTTGTTGAGCTCCATTGTTCTACATAGGGAGAAAAGGAAATACGTCAAATTTGACAAATACTTAACTCTTAAAATTTCATAACACATTTTTAATACTGTTTATTGTCATGATTTAAATTTAACAAGAACTACTGATTTCAGTTCAAAGTAGAATTTAGTTTGATGCACATCTAACACTATAGGTTACTTTTGACTTTGCAACAGTTTAGTGTGAAAACTTGTATTTTATTTGTTTCAATATTGTGAAAGTTATACCTACATATGTAATCAATGTTTTCTTAAAAAAAAAAGGAAAAAAAAAAAAAAAAAAAAGAGAGAGAGAGAGAGAAAGAAAGAAAGAAAATAAAGGAAAGAAAGAAAAAGAAAACTTGATGTTCGTGTTTTTCAAGACTCTTGGACGAATGAATATGGATTCATACAAAAAAGGATCATGCTCTATGTGTGTTATGGCATGAAACTGTAGTATGTCTCACATCAACTGCACAAAGATATTTTAAAACTAAACATCAGTCCACATTTCAGAATTTCGATGCGAAATGTGAAGTTATAAAAAATGTTATTACAAGAAATATTTATATATATATAATTATTATATAATAATATTATTATTATTATATAATAATTTATTTTCATGTTAATAAATGTCATTAAATGATGCATAGTTAATATATAATAAAACTCTAAATCTGTATTCTTGACCTCTGTTCCCAAACTCTGCATGTATTGCAGTGAGAATCGAATTGTTTCAAATATGTCCTACTGTGTGATACCTTGAATTGTATTGGTAGATTGGTTTGGCACACCACAGTTACAAAGTTGCCGACCCCTGGTTTACCACATTCCGAAAATTTGGTGACTTATGTCATTAGGTGACTTCAGTATCTCAATTTTATCTTCAGAAAATAAAATTCATAAGAAAATCACAAAACTGTCAATATACATCTAAGAATTTTTTTTAAAAAAATTAAGCAGCTAAAATGTTTAAAACACAAAAATCACCTTACTTCTAATCGAAGGAAAAAGAGAAGTTATTTTAACTTAAAGAAAATAATAGTATGGAAGTGAAATTTCAAATTTCTTACCTCTACACGAACTGTCAAATTATACTGCTGTATTTTTTCATAATCTAACATATAATTTAAAAAAATGTAAGCCCAAGTGTCTCCATCTTCTGATGTGGAATTTTGAGTCAAGTAAAATGTGTCTTTCCCATTCGTTTGCTCTGTTCCCCCTTTTATTAGAGTATAAAACACTCTTGGGTTGTCAGGAATACCAGATCTGAAAAAAAAAAAAAAAAAAAAAAAAAAAAAAAAAAAAAAAAAAAAAAAAAAAAAAAAAAAAAAAAGTTAATTATTACATAAATGAACAAAAGAAAACATATTACAAAAGAAAACACACAGCAAGAATTTAAACTTGAAAAATATAGTTCAAATTTCCCGTTCCCCAAATTTCCCAAAGGCGTGATATTTACATGTCAAGCATTCATCAAAATTCTCTTCACTAAGAACATTTCTGAGGAAGCGCCCCAAAGAGTGCTTTATATCATACCTATTACAGGTAAATAATAATAATAATAATAATTAAAAAAAAAAAAAAAAAAAAAAAAAAAAAAAAAAAAACCGAACTTTCTGGGATTTGAAAATACACCCAACAACACAATATACAGTCAAAAGTCGTTAATCCGGACTCGTCGGGACTTCGGCGATTCCGGATTATCGATTTTTCCGGATTATAGATCATCATTTTAAATCTGGTAAGATGGCATGCAGAAATTACAAAATTAAAAATATGAAACCGTAATTTATGAAATAAAGAACAATTATGATCTAAAGGGTATCAAAATTTACAAAAAGAAGAAGCTTAATATTTATTTGTTTACTTTATTAAACATTTCTTTCGATGTAAGTTGCTTCATTTCATGTAATAATACTTTCTCTTTAATTCTATTAAACAGACATAATTTCTTGTTTAGTTACAAAGTTCCGCTGTTCAAGTCCTATAATTGCTGTGTTGAGAATACCGACTAATTTGTCAATCGAAATTTTTTCGTTTTCAATAACCTCTGTCACTTTCTTCACTATCGGAAGCGAATTATAATGACGAGGAACTTGTTTTAAATCATATCAAAGACGGAGCACATCGAGATGAAATACTACATTTGGTAAGGAATTATAAGCCAAATAAAATAAAAGCATCTGCCCTGAAGATAAGGATAGTGCTGACAGATCAACTTCCAATTCATTGCGCGCCGCGGCGTTCCCCTGCCGAGCAGCGTGAAATTGATAAACAGATTTCGGATTTCGAAACATACTTTCGCTTTAGATCCTTTACATATTAACAAATATATATCGGAAATTCTATTTGATATAATTGAAAGTTTAAGCTTACTTTTATAAAATTGCTCTAACAGTCTGCAAAAAAAAAAAAAAAAAAAAAAAAAAAAAAAAAAAAAAAAAGCCGGATCCAATTCGAAGATTAAAGAACAACGCAATCTGCAACATTAACTGAATTAAATAATTTTAGCTTAGATAACACCGTCCGTTATACATCAAACGCGCATGCGTAAACATTTTATGAGCATGTGCACAAGCATATTCGCAGCCGTAAAGGTCTTACGCGTGCACATAAACGCCTATGCGTACACGACGCATGCGCAGAAAGTTTGTAGCTTTGAGGTCCGGATTATAGATCATTCCGGATTATGGGTGTCCAAATTAACGACTTTTGACTGTAGTAACCACCCTATCCAAACACAGCAGCAAGTTCAGATTGTTAACTGCAATACTGTTGAACATAGAACAATATACGTTTAACAGGAGTGAAAGTTTTACTGGATAAAAATTTAGATCTTTATGAATGTTTTCTTTACCACACCTTGCTTTTGCGAAACATGAATATTGGTCATGAAAAAAAAAAACCTGAAGATTTTTCACCTCTATAAAAGACGGCAAAAAGTAAAATTATAATTCAAAGTTTATTATTAGGAGCAATAATTGCAGAACAACTAAGTATAGCATCAGTACTGACATTACACACTCATTCAGGGTCAAATTTTAATAAAATTTTGATTACATACGAAAAACTGTATGACAGGGAAAAAATATCAATCCAAACAAACAAATATATTACGCCAAGCTTTACACCTTTTCTCTAGCACTCCAGATAGTTCAATAGCCAATAAGATAAAACCCCAGCTTGCCAATGTGGATTTAATCATGTCTGCTGTTCAGTCCTGCCATCGTTTAGGTTCATTCCAATTTTGATTCAGAATAACTTGAAGGAAATAATGGCTTCTAAGTTCTCTTACCCCTCTTCCCCTACCTTCAACTTCTCTGAATGACTTTTGGCTCAAGATTATTTTAAGTGTCTTCATGCAGGAAAGACACTATATACTTACAAACATCCTTCCCTTTTCTAAGGTTTGAACTTGGGGCATAAGATATAGGCCATCTTCCCTATCACCATGTGGTTTTCCTTATGTGCAATGTGTATACGAGCCAGTTTCCCTTAGAAAGTCCTCCCCGGAGGCATCCCTCCTTTAAAGCAGATAGCCTCGAGTGCTTTGCCATAATCTAATAAACCAAACCAAACCAAACCCTATCACCATGCCAACAGGCATAGCATAACACAAAGCCTGATTTTCAACACTGCAAAAGGCAGCCATAGGAATTGTTTACCATTCTATTTTTATCACTCCATTCTACATCTTCTTGCACATTTAGAAAATCAACCCGAGTCTTTATTTTGTTTGATTAAAATTTGCATTTTAAATTTAAAAAATAAAACCATAATTAAAAATTTTGTTTTAACATGCTATAAAAGTAAATGTAAACGTAAGGTTTATTATAATTAATAAATACATTAGTAATTATTTATACAGTTATTACCATAGTACATACATTAATTATTATACTACATAAATTATTACTACATTTAAAATATTATAGTATTAAATATTTACTATATTTAAAATATATAACTAAGAAAACATTTCTAATGATTTTGCTTTACTTAGATGATGCCTAATATTTAACTTCTTTGTAGCTTTTAGATTAACCAATTATAATCTCACTTTTAACCTATTTTTGCTCTGTTCCTACCACTGTAAACTGAGTTCATCAATCTCTGTGATTAAACAAGTCTCGACACACCATAAAATTTACCTCTTAGAAGACAATAAAATTTTTGAACTGAGACTTAAATTAGCTAATCAAACCAAAAAAAGCGGGAATCAGTCCGCTACAGATTTCCGAATTATAGTACAAAGTTCAAAACTTGAATGTCTAACAGCCAGAATTAATATCTCCCAAAATTTTTCTCCCCTTTTCTCACACAGTGTAGGAACAAATAAAACGGTGTTCAAACAAAAGAAAGTGTGCCATGAATGAAGTTTTGTTCCAATTAACAAAATCCCCCCTAAAGAAAATATCATTATTCGTGATAATGTTGAATCATCCCGCATGTTGTTTGTTTCATTAAACATCTCCATATAGTAATTCATATTTTCAACTCTTGAACAGCTGGGGGAAGGCGGTATTTTTTCAAGTTTATACAGCTCTGTACAATAGATGAATGCTGTAAAAATGTGAAAAATTTGTTTGAAATTATTGAATAACGAGTACAGTCTTCTCAGTGCTTATATTACTTCAGTATGTGAATTATGTATGAATAAAGATCATCTGCAAGGCCACAACTGTGTATTTACTGGAAGAAAAATGCTCTACATATTCAGCTTCATCATTTTACATCAGCTTCAGACATTATTTTGTGCAAATTGCACACAAATAACATAAGAGATCTTTATTGTGGCTTATATCAATAATCATCATTAATGTCATCATTACTAATTCCTCACAATATGCTTGCTTCTAATTTTGAAGTTGAAACTACAGTACACATATAATATAGGTAAGTAAAGAGATTACATATTTGCTATACTTTTTCCACCTTATTATGTTAGCTTTTAGATATTTTTTGTTTATATCATATATTTTTCCTGAAATTCAGCTCAAAATTTCAAAATCTAACATTTAGTTACTGGTCATTTCAATGGTTAAGTTACTTGTAATTTCACTTTTGCTTTCCACCATTTAGGCTTCCAAGGGGGGGGGGGAAATTAAAGGTTTTTTTTAATAAATAAGCATAATGTGCTATAATAAACAGAGGAAAACTATTTTTTATTAACAGAAGTTAATTATTATATTTGCTGTATTATAACTAAGAACAATTTTGCTTTCTCAGTTTTCAGTTTCAGTAATGCAGACTTCATATGAAAAGTATTCTTCTTCTTAACAATAATTGCAAATTTAATCTGTTCTTCGTAATATTTAGAACTGTTTTGAGTACTCTTACCAATTTTGACTTCCAGTATACTACCCATTACTATTATATTATTCAGACTAGTCTATATAGGATATTAGTTTGCAGAATTTTTTAGTATGCTAAGATTAGAATAAATTTCTAATCTTAATATACTAAAAAATACTAAATAAAATTTTAAAATGAAACAAATGATATTATTTTTAACATAATTACAGTATCTTTTTTGTTATTACATTTATTATATTGTTTAAATTTCAGAATTAGAACATTCTAAAATTGACAAACAGAAAGACAAAGACATTTGAAAACATGACACAGATAAAAAAAATAAAATGTTCTTCTAAAATATTATTTTCTTAAAAACATAATTTTAATAAATAATAATTATTTTAATGATGACGTAATAACATTAGTATATTTATTTTAAAAATTCATAAACTATGAAATAAAAAATTTTGTAGGCAAATTAATTTGCCAACTTTAAGAAAAATTTATCAATTATGCATTACTTTCATAATAAACAACGTTAGATCCCATATAAATTAAAATACTGAAACTATTTATTTATTTCTGAAACACTGTTATTTTAGACAGATACCTTGCTTTCAATGATGCAATTTTTGTGCCAGCTAAAGTATCTTCTTTTACACGTATTGGTCCATAAATTGGTTGGTCCCAAATTGGTGGGTTATTTTTCCGGTCAACTACTTCAAAAAGAACATTCACTGATGCTTTTAGAGATGGCACACCTTGGTCAGCAGCTTCAGCTCTTAAATAATATTTTTCCCGCTGTAAAACCAAATAATTTTTTTTCAATCAAAGTGATAAACTAGTATTTTAACAAAATATATTGATTATATGTAACATAATGATTAATTTAAAACACACCAACAGAATCACACCTGGCCTATTACAAACTTTCATAATGTTCTAAAATAAATTTTCCATCTATAGTCTATACAAGGCATGGGCAAACTACAACCCACAGGCCAACTTCGGTCTGACGGAAGGTTCTATCCGGCCTGCGGATAGTTTTAATTTGTCGGTCCGAGGCAAATTAAAAGAAATATTTATTTATATAATATATACTCATCTCCTTTTCTACTTTTTTTTAATATTTCCCCCCCCCCCTTTTTTTTTTTTTTTTTTACAATGGACTTATGATCTTTTTACTTTCTCTATTTTTGTTCTACAAAACATAAATTGCCGGAAATAACAAGAACAGACAGCTTTCAATTGGTAAAGTGTTTAAAAATGAAGTTCTTTATTAGTTGATGGTTGATTAGAATCGAAGACATCGAGAAAAATTCATCATCACAATTAGCGTCAAAGATCAGCTAGTTCAAGTTTTGCTAGATAGCTATGGATGAAAGCACATATAAATGATACAGCTCAATTAGTAATATTTATAACAGGTGTTGATGAGAATTTTGAAATTACTGAGGAACTGCATGCATTCTTTAAAGGGAACTACAACAACGGGATATGATATTTTTCGTAAATTTCAGGAAGGGCTTTTAACTTTGAAAGTGCCTATAACAAATGTACATAATATTACGACCGATAGAGCACCAAATACGACAGTAAAAAAATCTGGATTTTTTTGACACTTTAATCAAAACTATCCTGGAAACAATGTTGTTTTTCTACATTGTGTTATACATCAAGACGCTCTGTGTTGACGCATTGAATATGAAACCCATGCTTGATGCAGTCGTGAAGCTTGTAAATACTATTTCATCTCATGGGTTTATTCATGGACAATTTCGAGATTTTCTTCAGTACATGCAATCTGAAAACTCTGATGTACTGTATTACACGAAAGTAAGGTGGCTTAATGCAGGATGTGTTTTCGAGGAGTATGGCAGCTGAAAGATGACATTGTGTTCTTCTTCCATGAGAAACAGTGTTCTGTGGAGTACGAAATGTTAGAAGATACAGAATGGCTTTCGGACTTTGCATTTTTCCCAGATCTTCTTTGTCATATGAACAACTTGAATGTCAAGATGCAAGTGAAAAATCAATTTATCGATGATATCTGGGCCCATCTCGATGCTTTTAAACTAAATCTGTCAGCCGGGCAGCTAGCTAAGAATGACTTGTCTCAACACGGCTTGAAAAAACTGTATTTTGAGTTCAAACGCAGATTTCAAGATTTCAGTGCCATTTAAACAGAACTGGATATTTTTACCTTGCCTTTCAATGTAAATTGTGAAGCAATGAGATCAGATTTGCAACTTGAATTAATTGAGTTGCAATCTAACAATCACAGTTGTTTCTTAAATATGCCATAAGTTAGAGTTTTACAAAAAAGTTTACAACACAGTAAGTTTCCCAAATTTAATAACTCATGCCCAGAAAATCAGTGCTATGTTTGCTTCATCTTATATATGTGAACAAGTATTTTCAACTATGAACCTTAGATAGAATTATTTCAGCAGTAGACTGACAGATGAGCATTTAGCCTCTTTCCATAGAAACAGTACATGTCACTTCGAACCTCAATATAAGGAACTTTTAAAAATGAAATTGCAATTTCATTTCATCTCATTAACATAGTTAAATTGCAATACTTGTATATTGTTTTTAAAATTTTAGAAAAATTTATCTTGGCCCGCCAATTTCCCCCCTACCCCGATTTTTGGCCCATGATTTAAAATGTTTGCCCATCCCTGGTCTATACTTAACTTTCAGTAAACTTGCTCATTATATGATTGTTCATAATATGGTGTATGCTACTGACTCCAATTTTTGCAAGTTTCATGTAGAATTCAGCAATCATTACGTGTAGTACACATTCACAAACAGGAAATGACCGATTTTAGCAACAAATTAACAGAAGTATCCTGCATGTGATCATTCAACTTTTCCTCTTAAATAAAAAAGACTATTCATATTATAGTACAGATGGCTTATACTGACTGAAAACTGTATGAAATCTTTAGAACTTTTTTCTTTGCATTACGTGAATAGAAACTCTTCAAATCAAGATATATTATCAACAGACCAACAGTCAGGTGCAAAAATACTGACTGACAAGTAAATGAAATCTTAAAAATTTCCAATGATGGAAATCAATCTTGTGAAATGGATTCTTTTATACACACCTTGGAAACATAAAAAAATGTATCCTTTTGGTATCATTGAATCAGGCATTTCATATGCAGAAACATTATTAACATGCAGGAAATTCACAAAACCAGAAACCTTAACTAAAAAAAAAGGAAAATCTATACACTCAGGAAAAAAATCAGGCAAAAATCTATACACTCTTTTGTGTTTTATTTTTAATTCAAAAGAAATCAAACTTCTTAAAAGGGAAAAAAATGTACCCCCCAGGATATTTAGGATTTAACACCTGAATAAATTGAATTATACTCATATATGAGATTATAAAGTTTCAAATTAGAAAATCGAATATATTTATAAATACATAATTCCAATAAACCACAAATCATAAGCAGGTAGATATTACTCAGCCTTTAAAAAGAATCACGATTCAAAACAACATATACAGGTAGACTGATAACTACTCAAGCTAACGCCTGTTAAAAACGTCACAAATTTTGTAATTAAAAATATTATTCATTACAAAACTTACATCTAGAGCTTTCCTTAATGTTATCCAGCCAGATTCAGGATTAATTGAAAAATAGCCTTCATCTTCAATGGATCTTGCATGTAAGCTGTAAACAATTTCACCATTATTGTCCGCATCTTCATCTGAAGCAGCTACTCGTAAGACAATGCTTCCAACAGGAATATCTTGTTTAATGTTTTCATGGTATTCAGAACGGTGAAAAAGAGGTGTATTGTCATTCACATCAGTGATTTCTACTTTGAAGGAGCATACACCTTCTAAAGGAGGATTACCTCTGTCTGTTGCTTTGAGAGTAACACTCACAAAACGACCATCTTCACCTTCTCTATCAAAAACCTAATGAAAGGATTAAGCAACTTGATAAAAATGTAATAAATTAATGTAAGAAACAAAATTTTACTTTTCAGCAATTTCATGAGAAGATTTTTAAAAATTATAATACTGAATTATCATTTTAGAAATAGCATAGATAGCAGATGCATGTAGAAAATTGTTTCAAATGCATAATAGATGAATACAGATTAGAAGAATAAATTAATAATTTAAAAAATTAACAGGAGAGAATTTTGTCCAAAACATAAGCAAAATTAATTCGTTACCTTGTTTGTTAGGACTTCTCCTGTAATTTCGTCGACAGTGAATTTTGCTCCCCTTTGATTTGGCTGTTGAACGACAGAGTATCTCACTTGCCCATTGTATCCTTTATCTAAATCTATAGCATTAACCTAAAAAAGGAATATAAAATACTCTATGTTAGAACATAATAATTCCATGCTAACAGTTCACATAATAAACTATTAGATAATTTTTTCTTTAATTGCCAAATGATCATCACTCTAATTTAGAACTTGATGCAGGAAGTAAATGTACAGGAATCTAAATTCACACCAAGAAAGATGTAATCATTATAAATTAATACTAACTTTTGACCAAAACTAATACCAGCCCTCCCCCCTCTTTTGTTTTACAATTATAAGAAATATCGTAAAGTTGCGTGCATACGGGTTTGTTATGAATTGAATGCGCAAGTCCGATGAAAAATAAATAAAATTTATTATTATCACAACAAATAAATCAAAATGCTTAAATTTCCTCAACTATTCGTACAACATCCCAATATCTTACAGTAGTTATCTTTTAAACTACTAAAAACGTTCAACAGAACTAATTCAAAATAGAGAAAGCAAATCCAATTTCGCCGTGAATTCACAACAGTTTTCTAAACAAAAAAACAACTAACTAACTAATGCGTTGAGAGGTTTTCATGCTGCTTATATAAGCTTTTTAAATGCAAGAGAATGTTCTAGCAATTTCTAAAAATCAAAAAAGAGATATTTATTAAATTTTAAATGCACGTGCTCTTGTATTTTTAATTCTTCTGGCTTAGCTTTCTCCATCACGTGCTGCACTGCACGGGGAATAAAATAATTTAATTTATAATTCTACTAACATTAGCTATTTAAATACCAAATCCGTAACAGTAATTCTGCATAGGCGTCAATTCTAGTAAAATAATTCTCTTACAAAAGGAAAGTTATGAAGTAAATAACAGAAACCCGATTCAAAATGTAAGTGTGACTTTTAATAAGTACAATTCCTGATTACACCTGCTAACTAATGCATAGAAAACTCATATAATGAAAAAATATTTTCCTTTATATTTTAAGTAATATACAGATGTCAAAAAAGGAATTCTTCAGAGACTTTAAAAGATGGCTAATATAAAATTTAACTAAAACAGTAGAAAATTTTACTCGAATTTTTCTCTTCTAGGAAAAATATTATGCTAATTTTTCTTGACAACTACATAGATATTTTTAGGGAGGTGAAATATCATAATATTCTGTAAGGCCACAATATCATAAAATTAAGTTTATTTACCATATGATCTACAGCTTCTCTACCCATTCTAGGTACACGTATCTTTGCGATTTCACTCTTATTTATAAGCATTATCTCATTTCTGTATAGAAAATGTGCTGTCAAGAAGTTCCAGGTTTGTAAAGAGAAAAAGTAAATTATGTATTGATTTATTTAAATTCAGCTGCCATCTCCAAAATAGCCTGGTCATAAATGTATACAGCATTCCGATCAATTTTCTATGCCTCAAAAGTGCTTTCTCTTTTGCAACTGCAATGAGTACTGTGATAACAAATTAATAAATAACAATACTGAATATTGGACACAGTTTCAAAACACAATCATGGGCAGTTAGGTCCAGTGAGCAACAAAAACCATATTGTTAATTGCTTAAATAAACTATAATTTTTTTCAGTGAACAGAACATTATTATAATGACAGAGCCAGCTGGGATTATGCTAGAGTTCAGTCCTTTTTTCAGCCCACTTCTTTTAAACACTTCAGATATCACAATAAAAGTGAGAATAGATTATAACATAAGAAACAATACACTCATAATACAAAAATTTTAACGTGGGAAAACAAACTATAAGTATGTTCTTTAACCCAAAATGCTTTGCTTTTTGGACTTAAGGAATATCAGATCTGCCACAGGAGGATAATTGCTTTTGTTTCTGCATCATAACTAGGTTAGAAATTTTACTACATGGGGGGGAAGCTAAATTCACACTTCAGTTGCAGGATATGTTATGAAAATTTGCTAAAATTTCATGACATATAAATTACATTAAATGATTCCCAAAAACTTTCATGGGCTAAAATCTATTTCTAAAATTTGTATAAAAATTCTGCAGCCAAAGAATTACAGTAACAATTTAAAAAAAAAAGCATATCAAATTAATATAATAAACAAATTACTAGTAACAATTACACATTTCTTAAACTGAAACGTGAATGCCTTGGTTTTCAAATATAATTAATTCATGTCTATAAACATGTCCATAATCCAAAGCAAATTTAAATCTGCCCATAAAAATAATGGAAAATCAGATGACACATTCTGCAACTCAAAAATATTCAAAGAAAAATGATAAATAAATTGCTAAGCAAAAATACACAGAACAAATTAACCTTTCGAAAAAAAACTGGCTTAGTGAAGCAATTGCAGTTATCTATTTGCTCACCACAACACTTTTCTTTTTATAAGAACTAATTAGGAATATATTCAATTATAGTTGCTTTTCCCGCTTTCAGGATTATGTGGAAACATGACATTATTAACAATATTGTTAAACTGATACATTGCTTACAATGTACAATGAAGCAAGGAAAATACCTTTATAACAAAAGTACCACTTCGTGCACCTTCTTGGACTTTAGGCTGATAATTTTCACAATCTTGAAATACAGGTTTGTTGTCATTAACATCTGTTATGAAGACAACTACCAGAGCAGTACTGGTGTGCGTGATATGAGCACCATCTTTACAACATGCTCCATCGTCCTTTGCAGTAATATTCAGCTCATATTTATCTTTATCCAAAACTATTGGCCCATCAATCAAGCGTATAACACCTGAAAACAGAAACATACTCTAAAAAATAAATCCTACTTGTTTTAAATTTGTATTATTAAGAATAAATTTTAAGAGTATCTCTATGTACATGAAACAAACACTTAAAAAAGAAAATAAGCAAACTTTCACAAATGAAGGGACCAATAAAAATGAAAAATATCTCAGGACATTCTCACTAATTGCTATGAGCACATTTATAGAATTTATGAAAAATTGAAAAAAAATAAAAGTAAAAAAACAATCAGCAAACCAGAGCTACAATCACATCAGTAAAATTCTGCACAATTCTAACATTAAAAATTATAAAATTATTCCAAATTTTATGACCCGAAGCTAAAATATGAGTATTTTTCTAGAACAGCTACTTTCATTCATAAAAGCAGAACACATTAATACCAGTGAACTTAAGAGTAAATAATGGATATAAGTGCTAGAACTTGCTACAACAAAAACTGAAAGCATTCAAGTTAATTATATATTTATATGTAAACTGTAGGCAAAAAAAAAAAAAAAAAATTTATTACTGAAATTTGTGAGTTGGGAAATGATTTTACAAATAATTTGATCACGAAAATAATATTACATGTTAAATAACTGAAAAAAATACTTTTTATTTGATTTGATCCTGAAATACATTAATGAGATTTCTTAATACTTATAGCCAATTTGGAAAATTCTGATAGTTCTCAGAAGTTTCACTGCTAAAGACAATTCTAAATGAACACCTTGTCTTCAAAATATCCACCTAACATAATTGTTACCTCCTCTGCAGAGTTCCCATTACAATACTGCTTGGCAAAAGTTATAATTTTTATTTTAAAAATTAGTAGAAAACCCAATTAGTTTTTGTGTGAACACCACTTCTGACTATACAGCAGAAATTGTATTTTATTATTAAAAGCAAAAGTGCAACTGAAGATGGAAAAAAAAATCTTGTGACTGCTTGAGAACATTACAGCAGCTGAAAATTCACCATGCTACTACGAAAGCCCAAAATCCAAAAGCTGGAAGAATTCAGAAAGAGAAACTATTGACACCAAAAATGCACTTTCATTCTGACCTTATTTTTCAAATGTAAACTGAAAGTGAATTGGAAATTACCAACAGCTCATCATCAGGTCTATGATCAATTAGTTGCATTTTTGATGGTATATACAACTAATGAAATTGGGCATACATGCAAGTTTTCAATTTTGACTGAACTAGTACCTAAATCTTCACTCTCAGCTTATATGCAGACATGTATAGTCAGTAATTATAGTAGATATGTATAATCAGTTTTAAAAATGTTAAAACCATTATATGTTTTATGTATAGATTCTGATTTCAAAGTTATTTCTAACTGTTGAGAATTACTTGGTAGGAAATGCTGATAAAACAGTGGTTGAGTGGAAGGTTCCAATAAATACTGAACAATTAAAATAAAGGATCCTTTTGATTCTGTCAAGCTGCAGAGACAAAGGTAGGTGTTTTCTCTTCCCTTATTGAGATACGAACCACGGGGGGGGGGGGGGGACAAACATGTGCTTAAAAAAAAAAAGGCTTTTAGCATGGGAAATTGTCAGAAAGCCATTTCCTGTAGGAGGTAAGTGGACGAGGCAAAACCTTCACTTGGAGCACTAGTGTCCTTTATTTGTTCCTTGAACTATGATGCAAACAGAAAAGTCGACAAATGTATTATTTCCGTAACAGACATTCTGCCAGGGCATGATATTATCTCAGAGAACTGCACACTGTGAACAAGAGGGATATTTTTACTCATAAGTTTGGGATGCTGTATAAAATATATGTGGTGCTTAGTTTAAATTGCTGTGTGCTTATAAAGAAATGACTAAGTGATAAAGGTTCCTGACCTGCATGAAGGGCATGCTCCGGTTTTTGCAGACACTTCAAAAAAGGCCAAGAGATAAAGGTCCCTGATTGAATTTGGACACTTTCTGGGGGTTTACAAAGTATTATTAAAATCCGTTCCAGACTGACAATTAGTCACTGACTTAGGATGCCTTCCCACTGTTATGAAGAGCAAGGATCCACGTGAGGTTCCTGTTTACATAGTATAATAACAAGTTTCATCGGAGTTCAGGTTTTGTGACAAATTGTAAGATGGCATGTGGTATGTTCATGTCTATGGCATGAAATACAAAGACTGTTTACCTAGCACACTGGTGCAAATGATTCTGATTTTTGAAATATCAAAGTGTCCTCGTGTCATCATCTCCTTGCATGTACTGATGATTTTTAAATCTAAGTTATGATTATGTAATACTAAGTGATGCAATACTAAGTGATACAATTATGTGAACTAAATGTTAAATTGTGACTACTTATTCAGAACTTAGTTCTGAGATTAGGATAAAGTTTTTATTTGCATGTTTTTTGTGACTTTAATATGTTAATGTTGTACATGGGGGCTTCTATAAAAAAACCGAATAATTTTGCAGCTAGGATTATGTGTTGATTTAGGATTATATTTCTGACAGATACAGTTAAGGAATTGTAAGCTATACTATGTATATCGAACCTTGGGTTAATTATTTGCAGTTGTATTTGTATCTGATAGTATTAAAATGTGAATTAGGACTTAAGATTAAAATTTTGTATGTTTATCAATTTTCATAGGTGATTATTCTCCTTCAAAATCTAGTATACAACACGTGATATGAAAAATTTATGGCAGAGATGACTTCAACATTATTAATGTTTCCCATAATTAACACAAACACTGCAATTTCTATATGTAAGTAGCAATAATTTTAAATTGATGACTTGATCCTATTTTCTTAATGCATCCTCGTAAATTTAAATTACATAATCAATACTAAATCTACGAAATTATACAAGTTTTAAAAAATTTTACAACCTATAAAATCAAGCTTTTTTGACATGCTGTAAAACTAATCTGAAAATGCAGCACTATATAAATTTTGTTGTCTATTTCCTACTCATATCAACAATTTATAATATGTAACATGCTAATTAAAATATAATTTCCAGACAAGTCTTCAAAAATCAATTCACCAAATGCATGCATGAAATGCAGATTAATATACTTTTTGTAATTGCGTGCAATACCTGTGATCCTATGTTCCAAGTTCTGTGCAACAGCAGAAAAAGAAATATCCAGTATATTAAAAATAGGCAGTAATAAAAAATAAAGACATATGAAACAAGAATTTTATTTAAAGCATTAAAAATTACATTACAGAAAGCAGATATACAGTTAAAAGTCGTTAATCCGGACTCGTCGGGACTTCGGCGATTCCGGATTATAGATCATCAGTTTAAATCTGGTAAGATGGCATGCAGAAATTACAAAATTAAAAATATGAAACCGTAATTTATGAAATAAAGAACAATTATGATCTAAAGGGTATCAAAACTTACAAAAAGAAGAAGCTTAATATTTATTTGTTTACTTTATTAAACATTTCTTTCGATGTAAGTTGCTTCATTTCATGTAATAATACTTTCTCTTTAATTCTATTAAACAGACATAATTTCTTGTTTAGTTACAAAGTTCCACTGTTCAAGTCCTATAATTGCTGTGTTGAGAATACCGACTAATTTGTCAATCGAAATATTTTCGTTTTCAATAACCTCTGAGTCACTTTCTTCACTATCGGAAGCGAATTATAATGACAGGAACTTGATTTAAATCATATCAAAGACGGAGTACATCGAGATGAAATACTACACTTAGTAAGGAATTATAAGCCAAATAAAATAAAAACATCTGCCCTGAAGATAAGGATAGAGCTGACAGATCAACTTCCAATCCCCGGGGCGAAATTGATAAACAGATTTCGGATTTCAAAACATACTTTCGCTTTGTAGATACAAATTACATATTAGTAAATATATATCGGAAATTCTATTTGACATAATCGAAAGTTCAAGCTTACTTTTATGAAACTGCTCTAACAGTCTGCAAAAAATAATAAGCCGGATCCAATTCGTAGATTAAGGAACAACGCAATCTGCAACATTAACTGAATTAGATAATTTTAGCTTACCTCCGTTACACATTACACGCGCATGCGCACAAACATATTTGCAGCCGTAAAGGTCTTACGCGCACTCGTAAACGCCTGTGCGCATGCGTGAATGCAACGCATGCGTGAATGCAACGCATGCGCAGAAAGTTTGTAGCTTTGAGGTCCGGATTATAGATCATTCTGGATTATGGGTGTCCGAATTAACGACTTTTGACTGTATCTATAATTCAAGAAGTTTAGCAAATTACACTTAATAAGGCATAATAATACTGTATTATTTCAAATATAAAGCAATGTTTAAAATTAGACACTTCCAAAAAAAAAAAAAAAAAAAAAGAATTTTGAACAGGATACTCGGTATTGGGGTTAATCAGATGAGTCCCTCTTCCTCAAGGAAAAATTATTTTTTCAAAAGTGAGAGAAGTGACAAAAACTTTACATGGAAATCAATTGGCAGAACAAAATGAAAAACTAGCATTATGTGTTGAGAAAAATAGTAACGAATTGTGAAAAGGCTGCACTGGGAAATATGGTACAGGAGTTAATGACATTAGCTCAGGACATTAGTTTTTTGTGAATGCTCAATTCTTTGGGATTATCTACTTCACCAACTGAAAATGATTTATGGATGACTTTCATAGAACCAAAGTTAAAGGTGTGGTAAGTGCTTAAATTAGCTATTAAAGATGTGTTTATATCTTTTCAAACATAGGAACTGGGATCCCTTAAGTAAAATTTTATCTTTCTTTAATTGGCCTGTATACGTTAAAGATGTAATTACTTCCACTTTGTTTTGGGAGGGGGCTGTAACTGAAGAAGAGGAACCTATGTTCGATTGCCCTTGAAATCATTAGTTTTATTCAAAATATACAACTTGAACATTTTGCTTAATTTAAAATTTTACATTTTTATATTTTCCTTTCCAGTTAGACAGGGTGTTTTTCTTTTTTAATATACCCTTCTGAAAATCATTAAGTCGATATTCTACGTGCAGTCATGCATTTAAAAAATAATTTAAAATAATTATCACATCTCTCTTTATTTTACACTTAATATAATGTAGATAATTAATTTTATACAACACACATAAAACATATAGAAATTAATTATTTTTCTTTATTCTTATTATCTATCTTTATAAGTCTTTATTTTTACTTTTATTTTACATACCTTTTATAAAATTTAAAAAAAAAAAAAAAAAAAAAAAAAAAAACTTTTCACCAGTAGCAAGCTATTTCATAATATCTGTCTTCTTATATTCAAGCCCCCTTTCCTTTCTACCTTATGTCATTATCATAAATAATTGCCAGTTCTACACTCACATCTACATACTATTTTAGCGTGCCTTAAATAAGAAAAACTTCATTCAAATTACCTTAATCGATTAATTATTCAGATTTCTTTATCCCTATAAATCTATTTAAAAAAATTCCTAATATCTATAAAAATACACTTAAATAAAAACAAAAATCAGTACAATTTACCTGTTCGTTTTTCAATTTCAAACATGCCTGCAGTAGTTCCTCCACCCATGAAACCAAATATCACATTATCACCATCAATGTCACTAGCAACAACAGTTGTGACCAGAGTGTTAGGTCCAGCATTCTCATCTACACTAGGTGTATAAACATCCTGGCTGAACTTAGGAGCTTCATCATTTCTGTTCTCTGTATAAACACGAATAGTGGCAGTTCCAGTGAGGGGTGGTTCTCCTTTGTCTACTGCTCGTACAGTTAGTTCATAAGTGTTTATGATGTCTGCATCAAGTCTTTTATTAGAATAAACAATACCATATGAATCGATTGTGAAATCTTCTTTATCCAGAGAATATTTTATTTCTGCATTTTTTCCTGAGTCTGCATCTGTTGCTGACACTAAAATGAACAGATATTAAAATGAATTAAAAATGCATAAAAATCATAATTTTAAAATCTCCCTTTAAATATAATGTATACAAATATCCCATCCTAATTAATGTATATACATGAAAAAGCATTAATTTTTAATATACTTGACTGAGTTTTTAACCTCCTACTTGTAAAAAAAGGAGCACTCAAAAAAGAAAATAACAGAATTGCAAACGTGAAAATTTAATGAAAATAAGTTATTTTTAACAAACAAATCATACCATAATATTTATTAAATACTGTTTCTTAATTTAATACATTTTATTACATAAACTTTAAAAGATATATAAATGAAAATTTAGAAAGAAAATGCATCATAAAACTTGGGCCCAAAACAATATGACTCGTATGCATCTCATTGTTGCTAACCTACTCTTAATAAAGTAGATTTCATATAATTTTCATATTCTCATATAAAATAATATTCTTATATAAAAAAAAGTTTTCCGACTTTTTCTATTTACAGCTGATTTATTCTCTCTTACATAACATGTTTAAGGTAAAGCTCCGATATACAGAAAGAAATAATTTTTATAGCACAATATCTAGAAAATTAACACAGTTTTCTGGATTAATAATGCACACTTCCAAAGCCAAAACAAGTTTGAAAAATTAAATAAGTGGTATCCTACACTCCCTCAATTTAATTTCAATTTGAAGCGATGTCATTGTTTAAACATCTATTCTAATAACATATACGAATACTTTTTGGAATTAAATTTACGTGGACACTTAAAAAAAAAACTGCTAAGTTAGGATAACTCAAATTAAAAAAAGAAAAGGCAAATTAAAGTTCTGAAAAAAAATTTATTTAAAATAAATCTTTCATTCAATTAAGACACATAAATAACTTGGTCCCAAATAGATACAGACTGTGTAAAAATTTTGTATGTTTGTTAACATATACTTTATAAATATGAAATATCTGTAAACTTGAATGCAGAATTTATGAAACCTACCTCGTAAGATTGATGTTCCAATAGGAACATCTTCAGCAACGCCATGAGCCTGATAATCTGGAACTTCAAACCGTGGAGGGTTATCATTGACATCAGTGACATCAATGTTCAACTAAAAAGAGAAAACGTTTATTAATTTTGGAACTAGCTCACTTAGACGTTTTATATAACAAAAAATATTTTTCATTAAATGCTATATTAACATATCAAACAATATATCCCATTATATATGACTACAGTTCATTGACAATATTTGAACATGAATCAGAATGGTCATAAATTTATCTAAAATGAAGCTCCCATACTAATTATTTTGTCATTGTCACAAATTATACAGAATAAGCCAAAGAAATAGCAAGTCACTAAAAACACATTTGTGCTACATTATGTCAAACTAAAAAGCTACAGTGAAAGCCAGCTTAGCCCAAAAGACACAGTACAGTAGAGCTGAATTACAAAGTTTTCATTCTTTTTTAACTCTCAAGTTGCTAAATTCAGACAACTCCAACCTGCTAAAATCAAATTTATATAACTTCAGTTGGCTCACAGTTTTACTTTTTTACAATTCAACTTCAAGACCTTAAAGAGTAGTCTGATATTTCTCACGTTTAATGGTCTTATTATACTAAGCTGATATGAATTTTCATTTCATTTCTTTAACATTTCACCACTAATAAAAATGCAAAAGTAAGGTAATTTAAAGAAAATTGTTAATTTAATTTTAGTTAAATGTACTATAACACGAAACAGATTATAAACAAATGCTTCGACACAATGGTTTATGAACAGTCCAAAAGCTAAACTTTCTCCCTTACAAAAAAAACGTGAGCTAAGTATCAATCCAAAAGCTAAACTTTCTCCCTTACTAAAAAAAAAGGTGAGCTGAGTATCAATCATTATAAAAAATAAATAAATAAATAAATAAGAAAGAAATAAAGTTTCCTTAGCTCTCTCGGCTAAAGCATCTCAATTTCAAAATAATTTCACATACTCTCATGTAATTACTCTTAAAGTGAATTTGACATAAAGTTTATCACAGCATACACAACAATACATACAAAATAAAAGATAAAAGATAAAAAGAAAAAACTAAAAATAAATTTTTTAAAAATCTGAATGTTTTCAGATTTTACATTACGCCCAAAAGAGCAATTTTTAACGTTTTGTGTGTTACTTTTATTTATTAACCGTTTCACTGCTACGTGGCGCAAAAGCTCTACGTTCATTTGTCTCAAAAACCACGATGCAGCCCAAAAGCACTGCGAGTTTCAGTGTGTCTTTGTTGCTGCATGGGTGTGAACGTAGTCTGACCTCACGTGTACTTTGTAACATGAGTGCATTTTAAAATAACTTTTCGCCGTTTTTATATATTATTTTTAAAAAATAACCATGTCACGGGCTATTATTTTGGAAGTTGATTCGATTGCCAGTGATTCTGAGGATGGTGAAAGAACAAACACAAGTAGTGATGATAGCATTATATCATAACTCATCAAAGAAAAAGACTGAGGATTGAAAGTGAGTCTTCTATCTTATCTTCAGAAACAGAAGACAACCAACTTTTACGAATATTTCTCTGACAAATGTGTTTTCCAAAGCAACAAATAATTTTTTCGAGACTCCTGGACCTAGATGTGCGCCTCCCCCCGATGCTACACCCATAACATATTTCAATTTATTTTTACCACATCACTGCTTGAAACCATCGTAAGGGAAATAAATCGATATGCTACCCAGTTTTTTGCCTCGCACACTGTTTCGAATAATTCTCGAGCAAAAAAGTGGATGCCAACAACAATATACGAAATAAAAGCCTTTACTCGAAATGGGGATTACGAGAAGGCCAACAATTGAAAGTTATTAGATAAAAGGTTCCGATATATACCATGGTTTAGGACAATGTTTTCAAGGGATAGGTTTCAACTGATTTTGAAGTTTTTTCACTTGATTGACAATACGTTATTATTTGAACCAGGACATCCAAATTATGACCCATGTGGCAGGTTTGATATGCTTGTCAAAAATGCAAATACTGTATTTCAGCAGCATTATTTGACAACATGAAGTCAAAATATGTCCCGCAGTTTTCGTGCGTTCTTGCAAGAATTGCTTAGCAGTCAAACGGTTAAATATCATGCTCTTCACACTAAAACCATAAAATTCAATTCAACAGCAATATCGCAAAATAATTTAAAATGAGCATATCTTTAGAATTTCCGATACACAGCCTTCGCGCTGGAAATAAAACTGTGTCCCCCCTCCCGCACAGTGTTGCCATTGCTCGCTCAGAAATCATTGATTTTATTTATCAGAAATTCATTAAAGTGTTACAAAATATGAAATCGATAATAAAACAATTTCAAATTAGGGCTCCCATATGCCCATATTTGGTGGAAGATTACGTTATTGAAAATTTGATGGCTCTAGGTACCGTTGTTTCATCACCCCACTGTGACAAACATACATTTATGTAGATTCTTCATTACTTAATTTCTTTAAATATAATACATGGTGATAATATTTGGTGGAAACAGTCAGAAAAGTGAATCAACACAGAAAGTGAATCAACGCAAAATGCCAAAACGAAATTAATAGCCCTTCTAGGCTAATTACTTTTTTAAAAACAATTTAGAACTATTTTCAAGGAAAACATCATTTTTCCAAATGTTTAATCCAAAAGTTTTGTGGGGACTTTTCATTACTGACATCATTACATTTTTGAATTAAATAGGAACTATTGTCTTTTTTAACATTCTTCATTTATTCTATTAGTTAAATAATTTCATTAATCAGCTGCTGTACATATACTACAGGAAATGTATATATACTATATATGCATTATATGAAAATTCGTGAATGTTAAATGAAAATAAACTCTTCAGAAATGCTTAGAAATTGCCCCAAAATCTCTAGATGTAAAACATAAAATAATATATTTCAACAACAATAAAAATAGCAGCACAAATATGCCAAGGTTTAATTTTAAATGCAGGCAATATCACAGTTACATATTCACATATATTTTAAATCAAATTCATCTGACATTAATTCCAATTAAATCATACATACTTCAACTGAAGTTGAAAGTCCTCCAGAATCTTCAGTAGCTGTAATTTGAAGAGAGTACTTTTTTGGTTGACGCAAATCTTCATAATCTAAATCTTTAGCTAATTTTACAATCCCGTCAGTTGAACCAATTGTAAAAGTACCTGCGCCTTGCCCTTTAATACCCAAAATGTATCGTATATGACGATTTGAGAAGGACATTGCTTTTACTTGAATTATTCTGGCAAGAAAAAAAAAAGTACTTATTAGAAAACAGATGATATTATTCTTTCTACAACATGTATGTAAACTTCTCAAAAATAAAACATATTGTTAAATACCTATTAAAAAAAATATTTTTTAGAGAAAAAATATTAACATACTTTCCTATTCCATTTTAGATCATCATTCTTATACTGTTTATAAATATTACTATTAACTAGAATTAACAACAATTATACGGAAACTATTCAAATCATAAAACCAAATGGCCAATTCCAATTCCTTTTATCATGTGGCTAGTTATTTGTATATAACATTCTAGATGGTTTTAACATATTTAGGTATACACCTATAATATTTTGATTCTCAGATAGGAATGTATCATTTACTTCAATGTGAAAGGTAAAATAACTGCTATAATATATATATTGAACTCCAATATACAGATTATATTTGCAACATCCAAAAAAAGCTTACAGTTTAATCTTTGACACTGAAACTCAAAACGATTAAAAAATGGGTTATTTTTCTGGGGGGGCCTGTAATTTTGGCCTATTGAATCTCAATGCTAAGATACAAATAGAGCAAAAAGCTTATTTTTAATTCACGTTAGGGAAGGAGGTCATTGACATTGTAAAAATGATGCTTCTTCCAGTGAAAATGCAACAGAAATGGGGAACTAGAAATGGTTTTTTTTTTTTTTTTTTTTTTTTTTTTTTTTTTTTTTTTTTTTTTGAGGGGGGGGGGGGGGGTACTGTGGATTTTCAAAATATGAGGAAACATGAATGAATATTTTATGAAAGAAAGGCTGAATAAAGGTTTTTGCGAAACATCCCTGATACAGTAATCTACCAGAACAGCAGGAAGATGAATATAAAAATGGAAATAAAACATTATACGAATTCACAATTAAGAAACTAGAATGTATAAAAAGAAGCTGCTGAACTTTTCTACCCATTCATTTTGAGTCAAAACTGAATTCAAATTTAATAATCCTCTACAGCTTTCGGCAGTTTTTGCCATATTATTTGAAAAATATCATAACAGCCCACAATGTAATGCAACAACCTCTTTGACAACCAAAGAACTTCTGCATAAAGAAGCAGACAACTGAAATTTTATCATTTTCAGTACAAAGTTGTTTGAACAACCCTCCATTCAAAATAATCTTCTTGATTTTATTCACAGATTTGATGACAAGATTGAGTTATGTAAGTGTTCACTCAGATGTTTCATTACCAGATGTTACCAGTGAATAATGTTGCATATGGTCAATATACATGATACTTCTGCTTCCAACTGTGCCATAAAAATATTGGAGCATTTAAGTATTGCTAGAACACCATTAGCAACAACTGAATATATTTTATTTAGAGCAGTTTCTATCTACTCAAGGAAATCTTTTGCGGTATGAAATAATAATTCATCTTCAATATTAGTTTGTAAAGTTTGGACAAATAATAACTTTTGACAGATCTATTCATCTCTGATGAAACACACAGAAAGAAGTAAGATTTTATTCTCTGACAAAGTTCATTTATTAAGCTATTTCTTAGATGTTTTCAAAAAGTTACATAAAGGTTTTTTAATGTTTCCAGCAATCTCATCAAATCTTCTTTGACCTTAATTACGCAAAGAAGTTTTTTGAAGCGATGACTCAAAATTTCAAGGATATGCTTATCTTACAACAATACTATATGATAATGAAGAGGAATAAAGCAATTATCCCTGTTCAGTAATTCAAAAAAAAGTTTAAGTAAAAAATTGTTGATGCAAATTCTTGTACAAAGGAAGTTTATTAAAGACAGTTAAAAAAATGCATGAACTACCAGAATATTTTAACTCATTATTTAAAGCAGATATCTCTTATCCATAAAGAAATCAAAGAGTACACCTCCATCAGAAAAAAGCAACCATAACAGATCTGAACCCACTGCAAAATTTCTTAGAGGGGAAAAAAAAAAATGACAGAAATATTTCTTCAAAAGTTCTCTAATATTTTACCAATATATTATTATACTCCTGATGTGATAAAATGAATGCCTTATAAATGCAAATCCAAAACGCTAGGTTATGAAAAAAAGAGGAAGAGATATAACAGGAATACTGCTACCTGTTAAGAAACAATATCTTTTTATCTTGGCCATCAGGTTGTAATTTGAGATGAAATGCATTTACAACAGAGACCAGTCATAAAGGTGTCTTTATAAAGATGAAATGGCACTTTTATACTAGGACACCAGTATGCAAGTATAATTTCCATTTGCTCTGCTGATCACAATAATAAATTAAACTTCACTTACACAACAGCAAAATTCTTTTCTATAGCTTAGAATCTCCACAGAATGTCGCTAGATTTATACTGAGGCATTCCCATGAAGATTCTTATATTTTCAAACAGAGATAAAGGTGTTAAAACTTGCATAAAGGTGTCAACACCTTTATTACAGAGAAATATCCTGATGCAGTCCTGCCTGACAGTCCGAGAAAATTTGAGAAATCAGTACTTTTAACACATCAATTAGTACTTTGTCATGCAACAAAATCTTTCTCAAAATGCTTACATACACTCTAACACACACAGCATAATACTCTAATATATGCATTATTAATAGTAGTAGTACATGCAACACATGATATGAAATTTAAAGAACTGTTGAGAAGCAAATATTTCACATTATAAATAGGATAATTTTGAGGCATCTTAACAAAAAAAAAAAAAAAAAGTACTTATTTAAAAATTGCTGATTTAATACACGGTTAAATAAATATTATTTATTTTGAAGAGTACACAGCACAAAGTTAGAGTTCCGCATATTCAATATCCAGAATGATCTAAAATCCGGAACTTATAGCACCCCCCCAAAAAAATTAGGAACTTTTTATATACTTCATGCATGTGCATTTGATTCCTACCCACCCCCAATAAAACATGTGGAGAAGTCCGATTCTTAATTTCACTCCAGCACTGAATAAAATCCCTTGTTATTAAAGAAACAATTATTTTAGCATAAATTTGTGTTTTGTGTGATCAATAATTTGGCTCCGTAGCTGCATAGCTGCTTGGCATACATCTCAAACCAAAACATTCTACACAGAAATATGGATGATTTTATAACTATTAATATTTTATATCCCTGACGACAAACTGGCGAATCATTATTTTTATATTTTAGTTTCATCATCACATGTTTATCAACACATGATAACTTGAGTAAAGGCTCATGCCAGTGATGCCTAAACACTTTTTTATATTAGTAATTCAATAACTAAGGGTATACCCTTGGCGATGATAATAGATTTAAATTAAATGAGCTAAATGTTGACGAAAAAAAATTTAACAAAAATTTCTTTCCATATGCTAAAAATAGATTTTGTTAATGATACTCATAGACAAAAAGATTATATTTAGTGCTATCACTGAATTATTATTCACATAAACCCAGAACAGGCATCAGAGCTCTTATGGCTGCACGGGCAGGAGAATTCAGGGAAGACAAAATTTTTGGAATTAGAAAAACACCGAGTAACAGAATTAATATAGACAAAATTTTAAGAATTCAGGGAAAGCAATGAGACCCAAAATTTGGGGCAGCAAAAATTTAGAACTTGGGAAGGTGCTTGGTAGCAGAATTTACGACCCCCAGAGAATGCATCAGGTGAAAAAATATGTAGTGCCAGCTCTCAGTATGCTAAACTATATGTACGAATTTATTTATTAAGGACGCAGATAAACATTAAACATGTGCAAGAAACAGACGTAAGTATAACAAATAACTAAATTAATGCAATTCAAGCTTAATTGTCTCAGTGCGCAATAGAAGCAAAACAAAATTTAACAGAACAACTTGTCTTTTATCAACAAACTCATGCTCATAGCCAATAATGTATATAGCAGATGCTGTTAAGCAAGGCTAATCTATACTTACTGATTCCAAGGAATTTCTGTTAATATAGAAGATTACGATATTCCTCAACTTTCTGATTTGATCCAGCTTATTATTTTTTGCAAGCTGTTATTATTACAGAAGTTTTATGAAAATTAAAGTCTGAACTTTCGATTATGTCGAAAAGAGTTCATATTCTAGAGCTGCAACAGGACCTGCAAAGCAAAAGAATGTTCCGATGTCCAATTAATAAAAAATGGAGTTGCTGCAAAAAATAAATATATGTATATCTGTCCCAAACTTATGCGAGGAGTATGCACTGGAAAGTCAAACTGCATATGACATAACAAGAAAAGGAACTTTATAATTTTTTTGTGGATTCCAACATCCACTCACAATGAATAACAGAAAAATTATTTGCTGTGCTAAAAGTGATGATCATGACAAAGTGACGATTTAATGACTCAGACAGTGTCACAGCAAGGGTATGCCAATAACAGGCCCAATGCAAATGGCTCAAGCCAAAATATTTCATGAAGAAATGGACTTAAAATACTGAAGCTGCTGAATTATTTGCAGATGAATTCATTAATAGTGAAATGTTATCCCAGGACAAATTTACAATGCTGATGAAACTGGTCTTTCCTGGCAATATGTACCACAAAATAAAAAGGCTCCAACCGGTGTCAAAGCAAGACTAACAATTTTAGTATGCGCAAATGGCTGCAGGAACACACAAGTATAAACTCTTCGTAATCTGAAAAAATATATGACCTCAAACATTAAAAGCAGTAAAGATTTTCCCCGTTATATATTGTGCAAATGAAAGAGCATGGTTGACACAAGCGTTAATGAACGATTGTTTGAAAATCATTCCATACTTGAGACTCGGCAAAATTTCAATTTGGTTTACCTGCTGAAGCAAAAATTGTCTTAATTGTATCGCTGTGAGCGTAAAAGTTCTACCCGTTTTTGGATATGCAAATTTGCAATGGAATTGATGTTACGCATAACATTGTAATGACAAAATTTGTCGGCCAATCAAACATGTGGATGCCTCACATATAAATGCATTGTGTCTCGCATAGTTAATAATCTCAAAAATTTCAGAAGGTGTAACATGGAAAGTGAGAAGTATATAAGACACTGTTTGTTATACAAGTTCAATAAAAAGACTACGGCAGCCACAGCATGTCACAATGTTTGTCAAGTTTATGGGGAGGATGCAGTAGATGAAAGCACATTTCATTGATGGTTTTGTAAATTTAGGAAAGGAGACATAAGCAGCTAAGATCAGGCTAGGAGTGGATGGCCATCACATGTTGGAGAAGACGATATTGACCAAGCCATAAGGAACAACCCGAATCCAACCATGCAAGAATTAGCGGAGACCTTCAACGTACACCGGACAATGGTCAACACATGGCTGGTTAAGTTGGGTTTCATGAGAAAGTTGGATCATTGGGTTACACATAACCTGAGACCTAATCAATGGAATGACCAAATTGCCACTTGTGTTTCCTTGCCTTCCCGGTACAAAAACGACCCATTCTTGACACAAATTGTGACAGGAGATGCAAAGTGGATTATGTATCGTAACATAAAGCATCGTAGGAGTGTGTCACCCTTCTAATCCAACAGCATCAACTTCGAAAGCCAAACTTCATCCCAAGAAGGTATGTGAGTGTGTGGTGGGATGTCCAGAGAATAATTCATTGGGTGGTCCAGCCACTCAAAAAAACCGTCACTGCTGCCTTCTACTGTCTATAGTTAGATAGGCTGCATTCAAATTTGGTAGCAAAGCGGCCAGGTCTCATCAATCATCGCAGTGTTATCCTTCAACATGATAACGCCAGATCACATGCTGCTATCATCACTCGTCAAAAGTTACTCGGCTTTGGTTGGAAGGATTTATCCCATCCCCCTATTCTCCTGATTTGGCACCAACTGACTATCACCTATTCCGTGTGTTGAACAATTCCTTTAGTCAGAAAATCTTTGATGATCTTGATGCTGTGAAAACTGCCATCTAAGACTTTTTTGACTCAAAACCTCCAGAATTTTACCACCGTGGGATTCATCTCCTACTAGAAAGATGGCAAGATATCATACATAACAATGGAGATTATGTACAATAGGTATTGTTCATTTTGCATTTATTTGCTCTTCTTTATGGGTAATGAAAGTGGGTAGAACTTTTGCACTTACCCAATAGATAACTGTTCGGCTCATATTTTACTTAAAGTTCGGAAGATAATGCATCAGTATTATTCTTTCCTCCAAACTCTACATCTATCATTCAGCCTATGGATATCGGTACACAGTGTTCACTGAAATGCAAATATCAACTAGCATTTTTAAAATCCATGTTAAAGTTCTTGAATAGTGGCAAGACTATTCAAAACATTTGTTTAATATTTTAGCATAAAATCTGCTTTGTGGAGCATTGCAAGATCATGAGAAGATGTATCTCCAGATACTTTTAAAAGTACTTGGCATAATTTATGGCCAGCTACCATATTCATGGTGAGGATGGTGCAGATGATAGTGTGAATTCGAAGTTTTTCGAAAATCACACAACCAAATTTGAAATTTTCCAATTAATGGACTTTGTAGAGAAATGTGGATTAATTAATGGACTTTGTAGGGAAACCCAGAATAAATGAAGATGAAATACCTGAAGTTTTTCATTGCAATGACAATGTTCCAATCATTAATCAATTAACGGATGGCAAAATCTGTAGTATGGTTCAAAATTCAGAAAATACTGCTACGAAGAAAGTGACAGACATGTCACTGAAAACGAAAAAATTTCGATTGACTATTTAGAGAGAATTCTGGATTCAGCAAATTACAGGACTTGAACAGTGGAACTTTGTAACTGAATAACAAATTATGTCGATCTATAGAATTAAAGAGAAAGTATTAGCACAAAAAACGAAGCAACTTAAACAATTTACACTGAAAGAAATGTTTAATAAAGTAAACAAATAAATATTAAGCTTTTGGAAGGGGACGGCAAATTTTGATACTCTTTGGATCATATATGCCTTAATATTTCATAAATCATGATTTCGTATATTTAATTTTATAATTTCTACTGGATTTAAAATGATGATATAACATCCAGAAATATCCCTAATCAAGAATCGCTGAAGTATCAACGAGTCCGGATCTTGGACTTTGTACTGTATTATTAGAAATATGGACATACTCTGAATCCTTTTTCTTATTCTCAGGGATAACAGCCGAGAAAGACTGCTGATAAAACTGAGGTGGCCGCTTGCCGCCTATAATTGATAACCTCTCCTCTCCAGTGGATTGTTCTTTTAAGCCATTCAAATCTTCAGCCTTCACATATAAAACATATTCTTGGTCTAGATTGAATGCATCACTTCCAACAGTTCTAACTTCACCAGATATTTCATCCACTTCAAAACGGCCGCCAGCTGAAAGCAAAGAAAACAAATTCATATATGTAATAAAGAGTGAAAGTATGTATAATTCTTTTTGTACAAGCAAAATTTATGAAAACAAAAAATTGTGCATAATTACAAAGATTGATACATGTATATATTACAAAGAAAAATCACAAAGTAAAGATTACAAAGATGACTTTTATTATATTACCATAATTTAACAAGTAAGCTAAGATGATTTGTTTATATGCCATGCCACAAGCAAACATGTTACAAACAGTTGCGAATAAGGGTGAAATCTTGAAAATAGTACTTGTAACATTTTCTGGCTTTAAAAAACATAATAAAATGTGAAAAATATAGTGCTGGATAAAGAACAGAGAATTTAATAACTAATTATTTAATTAATAATTAGTTAATAATAAGGTAACACACAAACGGTAAAAAAATGCCCCTTTGGGCGTAATATAAAATCAGAAAGCTTTCAGGTTTTTTGGTCCAAAGGGGCTTTGTCCCTAAAGGATTTTTGTTTTTGTTTTGTGATTTTGCGTTGGAACCCTATAAACAGTGTATCACTTTTCAAATCATTGCCACCAAACGCTATTGCCCTGTATTATATTTGAAGAAATTAAATAACAAAGAATTTGCATAAATGTATGCAGTGGCGTAGCTAGAGTTTCCAGCGCCCGGGGACAACTGAAAAATTTGCACCCCTTTCTGTGTGCCAAGAATGGAAAACATTTCATTAAAAATTTTGTAGCATCAATTTGTCGCCCCTTGGATGCTGCGCCCGGGGACAGATGTCCCCTCTTGCCCCACCCTAGCTACGCCACTGAATGTATGTATGTTTCTCGCATTGTAATAAAGCAACACTACATAGAGCCATCCAATTTTAAATGGCGTAATCCTACTGCGACTATAGGCATATGGAAGCCCAAATTTGAAATTTGTTTTATTATCGATTTCATATTTTGTAAAATTTTAACGAATTTTTGATTAACAAACTCAACGATTTAAAAGCGAGCAATGGCAACACTGGGGGGAGGCGCCTTTTTATCTCCAGTGAGTGGAACTGTGTATCAGAAATTCTAAAGATGTGCTGATTTTAAAATTATTTTGCGACATTGCTGTTGAATTGAATTTTATGGTTTCAGTACAAAGAACATGATATTTAATAAATCACACACAAAAGGTAACACACAAAAAGTAAGGGGGGGAAACCTTTGGACGTAATTTAAAATCTGAAACATTTCAAAATTTTTTTATATATATATTTCTTCTTTCATCATGTACTTGCTCAGTCCAGAGGTTTATAACAGATTTTATGGCCAGCAGCTTAGGTTAAAATGAAGTAAAATAATCAGCATTTGTAACAGAAGCTGTTACCACTGTTTTTGCTTATCTAGAGAAAGCCACTGATCAAAACAGGCATGAATGGCAGAGTTTGGCACAGTTGGTAAGTGTTGAAATTTGGTAGTGTTTTGCTATCAGACCTAATTAATGATGTAGTGTTGCATGGAGTCGGAATTACAACCCATAATATACTGTAAAGTTTCAATAAACCCCTGAAGCCCCAGAGGTGGTAAATTGTTTTGAATTACTTTAAATCGCACTAGCTGTAAATAATAAAAAGTTTTATGTTGATTTTTACATTTTTGTGCTGTATCTTGCATCACAATAAGGATTAAAGAAAGGCAATAACTTGCCTTAACACATATTGTAAACTTCTAAGTGAGCAGTTAGTTGCAAATAATTAACTTAGGTCGTTACGTGTTACAGATTTACATGGTAACTGTTAAAAAATATTCACTAAAACAGCCAACATTCATTAAGCCATACTTAATCGGAGTGTGCAAAGTTGTGAATGCATAAATGTGCAGGCGACTCGGAGAAACTGTCGCCCAATATTTCCTTTGCTGTGATAGATGGTTCTTATACCAAGCTGATGAAAAGTTAGGAAATCCTTAAACCAATTTGACAATCCAAGGTCTGGTTGCTTGGCAACAAAGCTCAGCTTAAACCTCTTATGATTTTAAAGCCACCATGTGAAGGAAGCTTTAAGGATCACAAATTGTTTCCAAAAAAACGAAGGTACTTTTAACGCATTTTAGCTGGTTATTTATGTACAACCAATCCATATTTACGATAGAAATTACCAAATGAAAATTTTGGCCAAACTCAAAAATGAATTACCTATAATGCACAAAATTCTCCAATCTGCAAAAACTTTCAACCCTGTTGTGCACAGATTTTTAGAATTCTAGTATACATACATTTCAGGACCGAGAGTTTTTGCTGAATAGAGAATTCAAGAATCTGCAGTGAAAGTAACAAAAAAAAAAAAAAAAAAAGTTATGATAAGTCACTTTGATTCTTTGAAGAGAGTGCTTTAAAATAATTGAAAATCAATTTTATGAAATTTTATAAATTCAATTTTTTAATCCATTAGAACACTGTTATTATTCTCACTTAGTATTTCCATCTGCTACTTATGAAGTTTATGCTTAAGATCATTCATTTGAATTCGTTATTATAAAAAAAAAAGTATTGCAAGTCAGCGAAATGAAATTAATCACTTGAAAAGCAATTTTATCTACTCTTCTTAATAATATACTGCAGTAAGGGTTATTTTACATTACTAGTATAAAGGGTAAAGTATATTTCTGACATTCTACAAAACACTGTATAATGTTTTACTATTCTTTGCTACTGTATACTATCACCTGCTTCCAAAATGCAAGTAATGGTAAAATTCTGGAGTTACACATAGAAGTCAATCATCTACATACCTTTCTTTCCTAAATTTTATTTAAATAATAATCTCCTCTTTCAAAATCCAATGTAAGTCTTTTAAATTTCAATGCTTTCTTAATTTTTACATTTCACACTTAAATCGAATTGCAAACACAAACACAAGAGTTCATAAAAATGAAATACTTTAATTATTTTAAACAACAGAGATATAAGTACTGACAAAAGTACTAATATTTTTGTTTAATTACTGGTTTACCACCTCCCAAGGCATTAAATTATAATCCGAAATTTTAAAATGTGATTTAAATTTTATTATCATTAGCAGCAGTATCTGCATAAGTATTAACCGTTTGATTTTACTAAGATGGAAGGGGAAGAGAAAAATTGCAAAAAGAAACTAAAATCAATATTTGAAAAGAAAAGGAATGTGACTGAGATTCCTTCGATGACCAAACAAACTGGTTTCTACAGTGATATGTGGATGAAGTTCTACCAGAATACTTACAGCCGTACAGAATACAAGCAGCGCTAGAATACTAACAACAGTATGACTAATATTCACCATTAAATAAGGCACTTATAATGAAAATGAAATTTTTACACATGTACTCTCATTCTGAGAAACAAATTTCAAGAAAACTCACTTCGATCTCGGACAAGGTAGTAGTGAATTTTGCTATCAGAGTCAGGGTCACGGGCTTGTAATTTGAATACAGACGTACCAGGAGAGGCATTAAGCTCAACAACTGCTTGCATTGGCATTGGACTGTTGATGAAATAAGGATTTTCATCATTTGCATCTTGAACTTGTATGATAATTCGTTGCCTATCAGGCTCTGTTGAGAGAAAACATTATTAATATACAAATAATAAAAATTCTCAGCTGAACTAATTAAAAATAAAATTTTTAATATATTTTTTAAATGTTTTTTTTTACAAAAGGAAAATTACTTCATGTACAGTAAAATTTCATTTAATAATATTCCAACAAATATTCATTTCACATCTTAATACAGATCTAAGTTAACATGATAAAAATAAGTTCCATACATAAAAAATGCAAACCGATTTAAAACACATAATTCAATAGACATGTAACATATAAACATATATTTTCAAATTTTTTTAATCAATTTGTCTCAAAATTATTTAATTTTTATCTAAAGTACATTTATTCTTTGGCATACTAATTATTGTGATTTTATTTTTCTTCACCTCAAATATGGAGCTTTCACAAACACTGCAACGTGATTTCCTTACTGCAGCCCTATTTCCACTTTCTGTAGCAAATTGAATGACCTTTGCTTTTGAAAACAGCACTGTGTTTATTTCATTTGGCAGAAGCTATATTTATTACTAAAAGGAACGCTAGATCTACTGTATTTCAACTAAAGTAAATGCAATTTACTGAAGCCTTCAATGTTCACTTCAAAATCACGACTTCAAATGACTACAAGGTCAGAAAACATATCACTCCTAATTCCACAAATTCATTCAGGTCAGAAGAGCATTCTTACCCCAAATTACAACCCCCTTTTCTTGAAACCCTAGAATAACATTATTGTACTCACCTGCACTGAATACAATTTACCCTCTTTGCAAAATTATTTCTCCCTCAAGGATCTCCCTCACACACATATTGTTCCCCTTATCACTTAACAATTCAGTATATCATTGTTCAAAAGCCTCATAAAAATCTTCAAATGAATGACTTCAAAAAATAAGAGCAAAATTCCAAAATATAATCTGAATTTACAGATACACATTACATACTGGTGTGTGATATATGCGGTAATATACAATACTTCCATTTCCAGAAGTATAATTTGATTATTATAAGTTAGAAGATTTCCAATTCTGCCGCTATAGTTTATGGTGTTGCATGAGCACATATATCACCCTTGTTCTACAAGAATCACATGGCAAAGATTAATTTTAGAAGGCCACAGTTCAGAAAATTTATTAAAAGCAGTTTACTATGTAGAGACATCAGGTACTTTTTGGAAGCAGGGAAAATATGAAAAATATGCAATGCCCTAGACGGAAATCCAGCCGCGGACCTCTCAATTAATGCGCTGAGCGTGCAGACCACTACACCACAGAGGCTTGCTAAGAAGGCGAGAGAAATACCTTATATACTCCCCCTTTTAACCGAATTGCCAAATCCTGGGTGAGGGGAATCATCCTCCACCACCCTTTTAATTTGGGCACCACTGTAGAGACATCAGGTATTTTTTGGAAGCAGGCGAGGTAAAAAATATGCAACGCCTTCGCCGGGAATCTAACCGCGGACCTCTCAATTATGTGCTGAGCGTGCAGACCACTACACCACGAAGGCTTGCTAAGAAAACTGAAGAAATATTTTATAACTATTTTGATATTAGGAAAAGAGAAATACGTAAATTAATGACTTTAAGGATTACTAAAAACTAAAGTTTAATTTCAAGTACAAATTAAAATTTTAGAAAGTAAAACCACAATAAATTTTCTCAGTCATAAATATAAAACAGAAAACTAACATACATGTTAGGATCACCATTCCTTCCATTTTTAATATAATAATGCCCTTTTTGATAAAATATCCAGCTTTCCCAAAGTTAATCCAAATTGGGGGGGCGGGAGGATTGAAAATGCCCATCCAGTTATGCATATCTTTGAAACACTTAGTATTCAAAAAGTAGTAGAAATAAATTACCATTTTAAAATTTAATCTATCATGTACAAAGTATCTACAACTTTAGCAACATTTTATATTACACAGTATAAATCCTTTATCATTAAATTATATATGCACATTACATTTTTATGAGTTGGTCAATATGCCAGATTAATTTATAACTCACAGTCTAGCTATATATTAAGACAGAGATGCCTTTATAGCAGTGTTCCATCATAAAGGTGCTGGCACTTTTAGGCAAGTCAGCAATAGTTTTAAAAAACACAGAAACCTTCTTAAGACTGCCCAGCATTATGGTACCCTTATGAAGATCGGTTTCCAAAATGTAAAGACCTATCTTTGTGAAATTGTGGGAGCTTTTTTTTTTTTTTTTTTTTTAAAAAAAAAAAAAACTTCCTATTTGCATGGCACATAGAAAGATTTAAATGTCTGCACCTTTATGAAGGTTGTATTCTACAATTCAGAAGTTATCTTCGTAAAGACAATGGATAGAGCAGCTGACACATTTATAATGGGGCATTATTATGAAGTAGTCTCATTACAATATAAATGCTCAATTTATATAATGTACTTTCTAATTTTGAAGTAGAATGAACAAGAATTGTTTAATATCAAACACTTCTTGTTCATTCTACTTCATTACAGGACGAATAAAACATGAAAACTATTTCACAATTCACATTACCTTCAGTACCTCCCACAGTGAGTAAGTTTATTGAAATGACAATCCTCCTATAAAATTGTATAACAATCTAAACCTCCCTTACAAAATTCATCAAACGTACTACACGATGTTTCTATATTTTCAAAACTCTCATTTTTATTAAAAAGACACATGCCTCACACAGAGGGATACTTCATAATTTTTCTAATTGGGAAAAGAAATAAAAAAAAATATTTAAGCTTTTTATTTTTCCGATATGTATTCCCGACTTCCTTTTAAATTCCAAATGTGAAACAATCTGAATAAGCACATGCCAAAAAAACTAATACAATATCAACACGCAAACATTTATATTTTCTCTCTAATTAAATGGTGATTTATTGGGGGTGGGATTCTAAAAGCTTACTGTATTTGGCTGGTTAATGATCAAACAGATTAGAACATAAGAAAATACAACATATGAACTTGTCAAATAAAACAGCTTAAAAATTTATTACTACATTTATTGCATGAGCAAAGAAAACAAAAAAAATTGCGTCATGACATTCACGATTATCCCCCCCTCCCACAATAAGCTAAAATGTTAAAAAAAAAATAAATGAATAAATAAATAATAAAAACCCGCTGTGTCATTGGAAGAGGTGTCAATCGTTGGCGTCAAAGGAAATGTTAAATATTCAAAATCAACAAAATGGAAGAAAAGGTGCCCCCAAAACAGCTACCGCAGTTTCCGCTCAAAGAAGACAAATAAACAGAAAAAGTGTCATTCGACAGTGATGCGTTGTCAACCGATGTAACCGGAAATTCGGAGAGCGATGAGGGCGTAGTTAAGAGGGAAAGGGGGAAAATGAAAAGAAAGGCTACAAGTTCCTAATTTAGAAAAGGAAGGAAAAAAAAAATGTTATTTTATTACTTCATGAACAGAAATAAAACCATCAGTTACCTACGTCTTACTCACGTTAAACAGGAAAATTTTTAATTAAGTACTGATAAAAATTTCACGATGAAGCTGAATAAAACAATGACAGATTTAACTTAATCGAACGTAATGCTGAAGAATTCCAAATATCCAGCCTCATCAGGGACAGAACCCAAACGGATAATTTAAAAGTCCGGATCATCAGGCTGCTTCAGCTTCTTTTACAAGAAAATATGTATCTACTACAATGTAAGCGTGGAAGATCTCCTCACGTGGAGGAACAGATACAACGTTTTTCGCCAAATCTGTACAGTCAATATTAAAGAAAAAGGCTATTTATGTTAAATAATAACTCACGGAGTCACTAATGAACGGCTAGCTTTTATACAGTACATGAATTGCTTTAGTTTTTAAAAGTCACATATTTGGTGAACATTGTCAACTAGTCTATTATAGCACCTAATCTTTTTTAACTTCTCAAAAACATGGATAATATTATTTTATATTTTTTAAATAAATAAATGAAAATAGGCTTTACTTTACTTGACTCAGAATGAACAAATTACACAAATATCGGACTTTCGAAAATTTGAAACCTGAATAAATGAAGTATTAAAACACCAAACTGTTGAAAATCTAGAATTTTTTTTTTTTTTTTTTTTTTTTTTTTTTTTTTTTTTTTTTTTTTTTTACAACACATCTACTAGTTTGAAGTTCATATGCATTAAGTGACAGATGATAGAAAAAGAAGTATACCATAAATTTACATATGAAACTATTATCTAACTATTATCTATACCAAGGAGCTGGCCAACTTATTAACATCTGTTTCCCGTGTATTATTTTGCCCATTTTCAAACAAAAATTCCTTCCGTAATCGATAGATAATAATTTTCAAATTCACTTTGATCCTTCCGATAATACTCGCTTCTTCCCTATTCGCCCAAAAGCCAACAGTAATTTTTTGTTCCCTAAGATGCTTACACTTTTTCTAATAATTTATTTGCATAAAATATTCTACAAAAGACTGCAGTATTTTATATCGTATTATTACGTATTTGTACGATTCCTACTAAACTCAATAAGCATGATCAATAAATATTAATTTATTTGATAACCACCCACCTCTTCAAAGCCTTTTGATGACTTCACGAAATAATTTGGGATAATATGATGCTTGTTTAACTCATTTGTTAAAAATTTATACATTTTATTATAATGATGAATGCTTGAAAATGTCAAAAACGTAGCTTTTCATTTAATCAAAAATTCAGATTTCCGAAGTTTAAGCCCCATTCTTAGAGACAGGCCACTTCTGATGAATTTTCCATAATAAGCTAAATTAATAGTTTTCAATTCAGTTTTGAATAATTCCGGATGGAACTCCATAGTTCCAGTTTTATGGCAATTTATAGCTGCAGCGTTATTCATGGTGTGACCGATCACATCTGTGATAAAACGATTAAGGAATGAAAAGGTAGATAGAGAAGAGTTCCCATAATCTTTCCATCTGACGGGGAAGGCTGATATTAGGATAACGTGGAAAGTAGAATTGATCGAAACGTCAATTAGACGA